CCGATGACGAAATCCTCAGATTGCAGCGAGATGTGGTCGATCTCGTTATGGAATTGTCCACCAGGAGACTCCCATGTCCAGCGTAGAGAGTAGGGCTTCTGGAACTGCGAGTTACCATGGATGGTATGGGTCGACATGATAAACTCAGACAGCCTTTCACCCTGCTCATTCCACTCCGTTCCGATGTGAAGTTCTTCAGCCGTTCTTCTTGGTCCGATCTTAGCGTTGAAATCACCGACGATGACCTTGAAGAAGGTATGATCTTCCTTGTAGAACTTCTCCAATTCCATATAGAACGCTTCGAGCTCATCCTCGTCGTAGCTTGATGTTGGTGCGTAGGCGACGAAGATTGTCAAAGCCGGAGTTGAACCACATCTTCTCAATCGCAAACGTCCGATTCGGGTCGTCAGATTTTCGTACGAATCGATGTTCATGGCCAAGTGCGTGTTGACGAGGACGCCCACACCGCCAACGCCTCTGCTGTCGCATGTTCCGAGGAACAGTTCTTCTCCAGTCTCGTATACGGCGTGTAGCGGGCGATGCCTCCTCGTCTCGGTCAGTCCGATGACGTCGTACTTGATCTTCCTGGCTTGCAACATCAGATCTTCGATGTGAGCTTCCGATGCAAGCGTCCGTGCGTTGAAAGTACAGATCGTCATCCTAGTCCTGGGCGACTTGAATCTCCGTTGGCCCTGATTTCTTGCAGCCTCCCGAGCGGTCCCGACGACACTTTGTCGGTGGTTCCCTCAGGTTCAGGGGAATGAGGCCCATAATTATTACTGTTTTCGGCGTGAAGAAATTTGACCACGCGTAGCTCGCCAGGCTCTGACGTGGCACCCTCCGCATTGGTACGGTGTTGGAACAGTCCAAACCGTTCACCCCCACGCCACGTTGAGGCTGCAGATAGGATTTGTGGGGGAATTATCCTTTAATTTTTCCAGTAGTATAATAATTTCCGTAATAGTTTTTTTTACAGAAATCACTTTTCCAACTTGTCAGAATTTTAGAATGAGCCCACCTGAATCATCTTCCATGGTTCCCAAACGGAGTCCATCCATAGAAGGAGAGGCATTCGAGTATGTTGATTCATCTAGTTCATCACACGAAGAGTCTGAGGATGAGAGTCCCACCGAACCTGTTCCTCAAAGATGCCTCCTTAGAGGTCCCGTTACAGTATTGAGCCCTATGCTATTGAGCGACGAAGCCATTGCACGACTCACACAGGTTAGTAATTTCTGGCAGTACTTTAGCTATCACAGCTTCATTTAGTGACAGACTCGTCAGTTGTAAAAGACTCAGCTCGGGTAATTGCTACTCTTGAGTAACGTTCAGACTTCACGTTGACGCAGGTCACATTCTGACTTCGCGATGAGGGGGGGGGGGTTGACGCGCTACGACTCAGTACTACTGCGATCGCGCTCCAATTCGCTAGAAGAGGACTGAGTTATGGACGGGTATCGATCGGTACGGGCCGTTACCCTTCTGAGAGAGTGGGGAGCACAAGAGGGTAGACGTTGCCTAGTCTGACAGTCTGAAACCCTCCTATTCTCTCACACTCTCTCGAAGCAGTATGCGCCGGCGAGACGATAGCCGTCATGATGGGTTCCCTTACTTATAACTGAGAGCCGATTGCAATATAGCGGCGTCGTGGCGCATTAGCCAAAGTCTGAACCTTCAGTGAAAGTTAGAACCTATATCAGTTCAAAATGGCTTAAACTTATTAGTTCGCAAGTATTCTCAACACTGTGCAGCATTCAGGAGTTTGTGAGCGGTTATCGCCACTCGTTCACTCTCCTTTACTTCTTTACTACTCTCCTTCCCGTATTCCATAATCTTTCAAGCTTTCGAACCTTGTCACTTCTTGTAGGTGAAGTACTCAAACGCTCCCGACCCACAGTTTTTAAAATCCATTTAAGGTCAATACGTTTAACATAAGCTGGCTGAGTGGTGTGACAGCCCTGAAGACCGCACCGCGACAGTACGCAGATCAGCTTTTGCTAACCGAACCTACGAACCCGTAGGGAAATATTAAATCTAACGGCACCTGCAAAAAACAGTAATTCGATGAGGCATCATAAAATTTCTCTGCAGAGTGTCCAGAGGCATAGTGGACGGTTTTCTATTCGGACCATAGTAGTTTCTCGCGTTCAAACGACGACTTGTCCCGTTCTGCTCTAAAATTCCACCCATTGTACGTGTTTCTCAGCGATCGATAAGTGAGTATGCTCTAATACTAACTGTGGAAGAAGAACCTGAATAGCAGCAGGAAATATAATTTGAAAAAAACGTGCAGTAAGCGTCCAGCCCTATGCCCGAGCGCTCAGCCAGGCGGTACACCATATCGCGGAACGGGACGAGGGCACGGCGCGTTCTTCATATTGAACGTGCGGTGTCTATGCTTTTGCTAAAACATTAACGTTTCGGGCTAACTGTAATCATCACAGCGCTGCTAGTTCAAAATCGAGAGTTGCACATACCCAGGAGATGGAGAGGGAGTGGCTGCGTACTTCATTTGAACGTGTTGCGGAATCTCGTTGTGCATTTTTGTATTTGATACAACTTAACCATGTTGTTTTGTTATGTTGTGCTGGATGAAGAACAGATTTATTCCGCACAAAACATAACGACAGTTGTAATGGCATATGGAAACATCCCAAACGAATCCCACATCACGGTCAAATGAAGTACGGCCACTACTCCATCCCTGCACAGTGTTATATGTATTGCAACTCTCTCTTATAAACTATGACTAGCGGGTGTTGGTACGTAGGTTCTTTGAGTCGGGAAAACCAACGATTACACCCGTACATATTCAGGCAGTAGCCTCAAGCATTTTTGTTGCATACCTATTCCCACCGCTACAGACGCTTTCACGACGATCGCAGTATCTCTGCAACAACTATCGAATGGCGGTCAATCGTTACGCGGAATTCGAGACAGCTAACAAATCGAATGTTGTGCCAGAGCCGATGCAACCAGAAACCCTCTTCCGTTTTCACATGAAAGGAGTTCATATTCATGGGTTTTTCCGAGCTGTACGTCAGGTCATCGGTCCATCAGGAAAGACAGGTGAGTGCCTCATGCCTCACAATCAACCTCATTCTGAAAACGACAACCGGAGCAACAGTGAAAGGAGCAGCTTAGGTTTAGCGAGATGATGCTATGTACAAACAAACAAAAACAGGTGCCACCACTTAGGAAAGCACTCCAGTCGTGATTCTGTCCCCCGTCACGATTGGCTCGATCTAATGCACCAACTTTCCCACTGTTTTCTGGGCTTACTCAGCATACGTCGAAGAAATACCGATCGCGAATTCTCACATTACGGATGCCCTCATATTAGGCATTTATACCAATACAGCCACCATACAAGAGCCACCCAACTAATGTCACGAGTCGAAATTGGCTTCAGCCCTTTTACTTAGATGTGTTGCATCTTAGGCTCTGTTCATAATTTGCGACTGCGTACACTAGCCACCACAGCGACCAGAAGTAGAGAGTATGAGAAAATAGGAAGATAGCAGGCTGTCATATGTACGGAGTAGGAGGAAGGATGACAGCGATTAGGGTCGTGAAATCGTTAGCGACGCACTTGCGCACAATGAGGTTACTCTGGTCGCTGCAGATAAGGACGCAAGATCGATATCATACTTTCTAGTCCTCGAACGCTGATGTCGCCTGGCAGACGTTATGAATGCTCGAAATACTGATTGGACGCTCCGCCCAGGTATGAATGCTTCTTACTCATTTTGATCAGGAGCTTCTCCGCGAAGGTAGGTGATAATTAAATGCGAATCGGATTCTCTACTTTTAATACCAAACAAATGCTAAGGCATTGATTCTTTGGGGTGGGGGGAACTTCGATTGTCCAAACAGATAACTAGCCTGATGGCGCCGATTCGACGTTGGTGAAATTTCCTAATCCCACTATTATCTAATCTCTTTATCGCCTTATCACTTGCTCCCACAGGTAGGCAGATCTACGCCAGCGAAAAAGGTATGGGTTACCTCAATCAAATCCGTTTTTCAGACATGTTCACTCTGTATCTCCAGGATATCTTCTACGGCCGTTTGTTCCCTCTCTATCGCATTTCGCATCAGTTAGTAGCAAGTACTACACTTCACCTCACAAGTCTAGCCAGCGTCAGACGTGTAGCGCACAGCGCCGCTTCGCAACCGTTACGCATTTTTTTCAAATTTAGGATATTAGAGTTGCTTACAGAGAAAGAACGGCTGCACCTAAGTTTCTGAAAATTCATGCGAAACGGCGAGCGACTGATACAGCTCTGAAACTATCTGATCACCTTACATTACTCCATCGAAGTCACTATTTTCTGGTACTACTTTAGCGGTAACAGTGGTCCTTCGTCCTATTAAGAGCATTTTCTGCAAAAAACACCCAAAGAGTACTCGCGCCACCTAAAAACACGCACGCATGTTTTTTACCGGAGACAGAAGAACCATAAAAAGAAACGTCTTGTTTAGCATTGTTGCTAACGATTGCTGATCAGCACAGTCCTTCCTGTTGTGGGAATAGGCCTTTTTCTGCTCCGACATACGGATACTCTCAGGCCAAAAATGTACAAGCAACTGTCAAGCGTGCTGCTGTGAATGCCTCAAAAACCGCATAAATCCCGCGTATCCATCAGGAGATTGGGGACAAACTCAAAACAAGCAGATCCGCTACCAAATCGATAAGCAAACCGAGCATTTCCTGTGTCTTTCTATATCAATCCTTTCCTCTTGTTTCTCAATATTTATCTAACAGTGAGCTCCTCCTTTTCGAGTTTTTTTATCACATTTTAATGTGTTTCGCAAATCAGATCAACACGGAGGCAACACTGCAAGACATCAAGCAAAGCCATCAAACATCAAGCAACTGTGAAACCAAATAATTAAAGTCAAAAACGATAAATAAAACCAATTATCACAGTCTTCTGTATCAAAAACTACATCAAAATGTGATAAAGTAGAAAACAGGAGCTCACTATCAGATAAATATGAGAAACAAAGAGAAGAGGATGATATAGAAAGAAAAAACATAAAAGCTGGAGTTCGGTACAACTGTAGCGCTACAAGTCTGAACGCTGCCTTACACTACTCCTGTGAGAAGAATATTTCCAGATGGCCAACGGAGGAACAAGAACTCTTTCGGCGAACATCACACTATCTACTTCGCTTCTTTGAAGCTTCATTGTATGTCTTTTTCATAGTGACACCCAAAAGTACGGGCAGCGGCAAGAGAATCGTAATTCGCCGCGCCAGTGGGCGTCGCGTGCGACGTCGCGCCCGCTAATGACGACGATTTTAGGTGGTATGGTCGAGAATAGACAACGTATGACCAAAAATAGACATAAGTGTCTGCCATGTCCTTGTCCTCATGAAATTCGATGCTCTATTTGAAAGGATAAAGCAAATCAAAAGACGTCGCGCCCCTTGCCGTGCGCGACGAAGCGGCAATTTAGGATTCGCTTGCCCGTCTCCCCAGAAGTACAGTTAGGATCCTTGCATAGATAGGGCGTGTGACGCGATGTGGGCTGACGAGTAGTCAGGATGGCCTATTGTCACGAATAAAGCCAACTTGAGTCCGGTACAAGTGATAGAAATCAGCCTCGACGGTGTTCCAAGCCGCGCCCGTCCCCCGCCCTATCATTTGTAGGAAGACTGCACAAACTGACAAGTGTAGCTGAAGTTTCATCATGCAGGCTACAACTTCTAGGAGGTGGAAGCGGTTCTAGCGTCATCGGGAAAAGAGGCCACACCCTCTTCGCGCTACAGCGTGCGGTCCAACGCTCTTCCAACGATGTACCTGGAGTCGTTTTTCGGTCATGAAATGCTAGATTTTGCCTTATGGCTAAAAAAATCGGAGGCTCCCAAGTAGCAGATTACTCACGAACTTTCGACCTTCGCACAACAGCTTCTCGCATTTTTTGCCTTCTACTTCGTATCTAACATTTCAATGGCCTTTTTCAGAGCTCATAGGAACCACGGTCAACAGCAGATATCCAGTGGTGAGGAACAGCAGGAACCTGAAGACCAGATGCAACAAAATTGCGCAGTGCCTGCTACGGTAAGTCCCATCAGAGAAAATAGTCCTATGAGGCGACGTACGCGGTCGTGGTGCGTGCCCTTTTAAAAAATCGATGCGCCGATTCTCACGAATACACCTATTCTCTCAAATTGTTCCGTACTTGGGTCCATCCTTAACAGGAAATGCAACAGCATAAGGTATGCCTTGACCCCTTATCACTCAACGGAGATCACTACCTTTAATCCCTATTTTTTATTCCATATCATCCCTCCACTTAGATCTTACTACTGGTAAGTAAAAAGCGATATAAAAAATCCATCACGCTATTCCTTTAGTTTCCCACAAATGAAGAAAATCGGAGCTCCCAACAAGAGCGAACGAAATCATCAGTGATTTAGGAGTCAGGCTCTCCTAATCAACGTGCCGAAGTATCTGGACAACGACCGTGCTGCACTAGTGCTTGATAGAAGTAAAGCCTTATCAACTGATACATCACTTACTTGTATGAGAACGCGGTTCCCATGCTACAGTTTAGTTACAATGATTTTGTTGAGTATTCTTCACTGACGTCACCCGCGCCTACCTTAACCCGAAGATGAGGGGGGCGTGGCTGCGTACAAGAGGAAAAAACGCGCCACTATTGGTGGTATATTGCCGTTTTGGAACAATTTTAGGGAGCATCTTTGTCCTAAACAGAAAGTCAGTTGGTTCCAATGGAAGCTCTCTACGAGAAGCTCTGGTTTTCTGACGCCATCTCCAGCCATCGTGCCTATTGCCTTCGAATAAAGTACGCAGCCACTCCTTCCCATTTCTAGGATATGGAATGCAACTAGCGCCTAAATAATTCCGGTGTCAAAAGGCAATCGAAAATAATGCCATCAATGGTTAGGAGCCACTTATTAGCTGCACCCTAGCTGCCATGGCCCTTGCTGCCGTGCGTCTCGTGCATGTGCACTCTAGCAGGGTACGTAACGACTGGCCTTTGCGCAAGGCCTCCTTACGGGTGCCATGATATGAGCTTTTGAGGAGGTCATCAGGAGGGGAACTCCTGAGTGGGTGAGCCACTCATGATCTGTGAAAAGCTGAAATGTGTGCGCTTTCAATGACCATAGAATGTCATGCACACGAGTGAAAGCAGAGAGAAACAGAAGATCTCTCACATTCGAACAACTTCAAGTTGTCCGTATACCCATTCACAAGGCGTAAATTTGTTGAAACCATACCAAATGCGCCAAAAATTGCTATAAGCAATGTATTTAAGTTTGGGAGAGAATGAAGTCGCGTTCCCATTCCGCGTCCACCACAGATTTACTAACTGCGACTCGACGGCTGTTCTTGTCCTCAGCATGCGTGGGCACAGTGTACGAAATTTATCAAGAAGCTTTCTAGCTGATCAATCCTTTTGGCAATAACACAGGCACACTGCTCATTATCCTAGAAAATGTGGTATATCCCATACAATGAAGAAGGTTTGGATTAGGGGGAACAACAGCTGATGCACAGTTCAGAGTTTTTATCCTCTCAGACAAATACGGCACCAAGTCGTGGCCCGGAAACATGATGGACCTGATTGGTGTGCATAGTAGTCGATCTGGTCCCATGGCTACTAGCATGGCAAAGGCACCAATGTGCCACTTACTCCTCGGCGCAGTGGTCATTACGAGCAGTTAGCCAGCTAACAGGCACTGCTCATGGTGCGGTATGAAAATCACGTTGTTGGCACTTGTGCAACGGTTGCCAACTCAAAAACCCAAGCGATTAGGAAAATAAGACCCCAGAAATTCAATAATACTTCAGAGTAACATTTTAACATTTTTTAACACATTTTGAACGCCCATCGAGCAATTCGCGACGCAAAACTCTTTTCAGTGTCGCTATGTACGCGAAATCTAGAGAAATGGACTATTGCTGTTGCTCTAGGCAGCAGCAGCAGCAGTGTCTATGCAGCAGCAGGCAGCAGCAGTGCCGACTACTACCAGCAAACAGAACAGCAGTAGCCACAACGACGAGCAGGCGGCAGGATACGGTGCACTGAGCACCAACGGCAACAGCGTTAGCGAGCACACAGCGACAATATAGGCAGTGCAGCAGCACCCCCGCAGCAGCAGGTGTGTTTGCGACTTCACACCGTCTATGTAGCGCATTTTTTGTCTATTACAAGTTTTTGAGTGACAATTGACATTTGAGTGACAATTGACAACAAGAAGATCACTTTGAGGGCTTTATACTGGACTTTTTAGATAACTGGCAGCAACGAGCCGTACACCTTCTTTGCACCACCTCCTCTGCAACCACGTCCCTCCACTCAGTAAGTTTCAATTCAATAGTGAGGGATCACCTTGAAATCGAGACTCGAGCGGATTACCTTACCAGCCACGGAGATGAGCACACTTGTAGACAGCTGACATTCCACGTTCCGATCACCGAGTTCGCAGTTCCAACCACCTCAACAATTCTGCCGCTATTGTTGATGTGCTTGAAATGTTCGCGAATTGAAATAGTAGAAATGTTTCCCCTTATTTTGATCAGAATAGGGGACAATATCCATTTAACTTTGTTGCAACCTGATGTAGGGCAGGGCAACCATGACTCCAATCTCATTCGGTGCGGATGCTAGTTCGTGTCAGAAGGGCAGTGTTTGGCACGGTGGCAACCCGTTTTCCCCTGCAACGTGACCATTTGTCAGCTTCTAGAACAGGTGGGGAGGGGTTACTGTCGCGCCCAACCCACCACCTCCCCTGACACGCCCCTGCATCCGCAGCAGACAAGACTGTACGCCTTCCTGGTTACTGTGTTCATACTGTTATACGGTAATGAGCAAAGATATAGCGATGGGAAGTGCATTTCAAGGCAATGGCGACGACTGGGGCGGGCGGTTGCTGCCAACATCATTGGTGGAAGGCGCTGGATGAGGTGGGGCCGAATGCTCTCTCGCAGCCTTCCACCAATCACGCTGGCGACAACCGCGCCACAGGAATCGTGCCTTCTGCCTTTGAGTCAAATACTCCACGAAGAAGAGATGAAAAGGAAGAGGCTTGAAATCTAAAAGAAACCCGAGAATGACCCCACCAGCTCCACGACGAACCCGAAAGAAATAATCGGAAACTGTAGCGACTGTTGAATTCACATGACAAAGGAATGCAGTGAAAATGACCCCCACCAGCTCCACGACGAACGAGTTTTTCGGAGATCGGAACATGTAATACAGAACTGATGTCATTACGATTTTTAGATACATCTTATCTTCCTTGACGATATTTCTCATCAAAGGCTACTTTTCAGATACCAATTTCCTGAAGAGCCAACTGTGGTTCTACCGCTTAGTGCGATCCCGTTCTATGCCATCTATGATCAACCAACTGAGATACAAACGCCATCCGAGAATTCGTTCACTGCATGCTTTCCGTACCAGCCGCCTCAAAGAGAACAGCACTACTACACAGAGCAGCAGCAGCAGCAAGCAGCACAATCGATACCAACAAGCGTTGCCTCAGATCCTGGTCCGATGCAACCCAATCCTCTTATGGAATCCCAGGTCAGCGCTGCTAAAAGACCTCGTTTAATTCTTCCAAGGCCCACAGCACAGAATACGGCTTACTGAAGTGCCAATTGACTTCTCACCTTTGAAATACAACCAACCGCTTACAGAACCCCAACAGGCGATTTGAGCAGAGAACTGGCGCACACTCTCAAGCACCACCGCATAGCCACAACCAACCAGAAGCTATGAACCGCGCTGGAATGTACCACTCACCAAGAACTGGACGGCACTCCCACAATTCAGGAAATGCTGTAAGTTGTTCTTAATACACTAAAAAGGAGCGTTTGTGTTCCACAGTTCCCTGGCTCAGCAGCCCTTTATATTCCACCCTCTGATTGATTTTAACAGTTGCTAATCTTTCCACAAGAACCATTCGGCGTTTTTCATGAAAAACCAGTTAGTTGATCAGAATCAACAGTGGGTCGAACTTCCGATATCTTGAGCAGTAGGATCTCAGCGCGAATTTCGATGAAATGGTTCTATTATGAACATGTACTATACCTGTAGTTCTTCCATGAATCTTCGAAGGTCAACAGGCCATGCATGCACACCTGGGATGCAACGCGCTCCACTGGGCACTTCTAGGACCTCCATGGGATTATAACACGACATATTTCCTGAAATAATTAATTATTGGATTAATTTAGTCAATAAAACATAATCCGAAAAAGCGCGGAATAAGCCCCGTCTGTGCCATGACCTACGGTAACGTCCCGTACAGAGAGCTGAGTCTTATGCTTATTTCGCATTGTCGCACACTCCAGCTTTTCACCGACCACTATTAGCTCACCCACCTCCGGAGTCCCCTCCCCTTGAAAAATCCCGTTTCCTGGCTCGCCATACGTTTTTTGCACGTTTCGATGCTTTGGCAGCCGCTGCCCTCTATCCGTCTGCGTCACAGGGTTTCGTAACAGGACCATGCACAAAAGTTCAAGATGTCACTAACCGACCGAAAGGGCGTCCCAGTGCTATTGACGAAAACGCAGGAGCAGACGAGTATCGACCAGCGAAGGCCGCTTGTGTTTTGGGAAAGTATAAAAGAACAGGAAGGTGCCAGACTGTGTGAAGGCAGCGTCTACTCTCCTGTCATCCGTTACTCTCTCAAAGCACAAGAGGCCGCTGCCAATCGAAATCCGTCTGCAGCTACGTTCCCGTCAACAGCATAGGAGCGCCACTGCAGCGGTAGCACGCCAACGCGCTTTACAGCGCCTTACAGCGCGTGGTCGCGAAATCTGAAAGCTGCCTGAGCGGAACCCTTCCGAAATGTACTTTTGTATATAAATGACAGTACAACGTCTACACTATTCGCTGCTGAGGATGACGGTGTCGGGGTGGGTCAGGCGCATTTTTTTTCTGCAAGCGATAAGACTATCATGACGTTCGTAAAAGTTGTTTTCCACCAACTGTCAACAGCGAGTGGAGAACGAGCAGACGGCGCGTCAAACCCAGCCCCACTGACACGCCCCACCATGCCAGTGAACACGACTGTATACACGTTTCTGCTCCCGGAATGATACCGAAAGTATCGCAAAAGGTGCGCTAATTCGAACGAGCTAGAGCTCAAGTACCGAATGAAAGAATCAGACATAAAGGATGACATCCCGAGAGTTCGTACAATGTGCACGCTAACGGTCAAGACCTCACACAGAAAATCGTAGTCTTGTGCATATGTCACTTCTGAAAATGTCATATAGTTTGAGATGAAATTTATGTTGTGAGTCGATGCGACTTCCGAAGCAATGCAACTGGAAGAAGCATGGCTTACAAACTCTACAAATAACGTGGTCACAGGGACGCACACCCACGTATCCAGCTCGGGTAGTTGCCTGTGATTGTTATAATACTCGCAACGCCAGGTCGGAATCGTTCTTCTCAAGTTTTTAAACCAGTAGATCGAAGAAACGCCATTTAACGTTTAATTTTTGTTAACTGCAAGTTGTAATTTTATGTGAAGATTCATTGCCGGATGGCACGCGCTTTGTGCATGGTGAGCAGAAAGTAGTTTATGTATTTAAAAGGTTTTATATCGTGAATATGGTACTTTTTACAATAAATTGGACCATTGGTGCCAAAGTGCTACAGACTACAGTAGGATGCCTCTCATGATTCTCGCCTCTCATCGAGGAATAACGCTAGCCGAACAAACTGTAGGATCTTAAAGAAGGTGAGCAATTGCCGATCTCCGTAACGCAAGGTTAGCATTCCAGATAGGTTGTAAAACTGGGGGGCCACTGGGAAGTGCGTGGTAATGGAACTAGAGGCTTGTAATTGTTTGATGTCCCGACTGCTACTTTATATGCGATGTAGCGGTCGGGACATCAAGCGGTAGGGCATAGGAGCGCCAGTCCAATGCCCTACCTTAGCCACACACGCTGCTTGCCTGCGTCGCTAACGAATGATTGTCCAAGTGGGGTGTGGTGCGAGCGTGGCATTCGTGTTCGTGTATCAAGTGGGGAGCGGAGATGTTAAAACAATAATGAACCTCTAGCTTCATTGCTAAGCCCTTTCAGTCATATCCCAGCCTTCCGCAGGTCTTTCGTAAAACCCTTTTCTCATTGGTTTTCACATCGACCTCAGGACGATAGGCTGCTTGTGGGTTCTTCATTATTATCCATTCATTCGGAAAAATTCAGCCAAAACCAGTAAACCTTTATTGTTGTAAAGGAAGTGCATGAATTGCACTTGAAGTATTATCAGTTGTGTAATTGTGCTGCATAAAAACACGATTGGTATCATTTGTCGATAGTCAGTCAGTCAGTCCACCTCGGCTGACTCGGCAGACGGAGCTGGCAGGACGTAGGTGTCGCCGTAGGACGTCGTCTCTCCGAAAGACGGATCGCGTGGTTCAAAGATTTCCTCCACATCGCGTCGATCGATGCCATCCGGAGCTCCAAATTTGTAAGCCAAACAAGGGTGCGGTGATCTTGCCAGGGCATGATAGTTGACTCGACGATGTATTTGCCCTCTTGGTGGCAGTACCGGTGGCGCTAGGACCACATCTGCACTGAGTGAGCCGTCTCTCTGTTCAGTAGCGGTATCAGCTACAGCTTCTGCTGACCAGTTCGTAGTTGGTTGGTATGGTGCTGCGCCTTTGTTGCCTGAAACGAGATGAGATCAGAAGGCTCAACTCGTTTGAGGCTGACTTGTCAAAAGCAAGCGACTGCACGCGGCACTGGCGTACGGGACTCGGCTCAAGCCGCACTCACCTCGAAACAGCCGTCCGATTGAATGGATCATTGCTTGAGCACTTCTACGTATTGAATGGTTCTGGTCATCCTAAAGGGTATTTCACAGATGTACTGTGTAAGATTACAGTACCCAGCTGGTAAGTACAATAATGAGCCCGTTAGAACAGCTCGATGAGCTGAATGCTACAGAACATTTTCTATGGACTCACATCTGTCTGGAGTTGAACACCTGAAGAAAGTTAGAGGAATCTATTCATTTCATGACCATTGAACAAGGAGGTGTTTCAGCGCTCAACTGCTAATTAGATGGTCGTACGAGAAATTGATTGGGCACAGTTTCAACGAGGTCGTTGGAAAGCTTTGTTCACCTCGAAGAAGAACACCTACCCCCTTGGCGAATTATAACCTTCTCGGACGTTTGAGCGCAAAAACAGTCCACACGAAAAGAATCACGTCAAAAGACATACCCTTACTGTATTTTGTACCTGAAATAAGAAAGTGTGAAATATCACAGTGGACAAGAAGCTGAGGCAGAAGTATTTTAGGGGGGGGGGGGTACCAGGTGGCAGTATATCTAGGCTACGTCGTGTTTTGTTGGCCTTGTTTTGCCCTGCCGCGCCTCTTTGGAACTTTACGGTAGGTAAACACGTCACCCTCTCGCTCAATGAGAGGGTGCAGGGCGATCATACATGATGTGGCGTTCCTGTGAGGCCGCCCAATACCCCAATCTACCTTTGTCTCTTACTTCAATTAGAAACAAGAAAAACAAATATTGGGGAAAGGAATACACTCAACATCACAGATGATCCGTTTCGCCCGTTATCGTAGACGAATCATCGAAGTCTTACCAACCCCCGGGCTCTCAGTACGACAGGGTTGAAGACATGGACATGGACTACACAGGGGAAGGAGCTAAGAAATAGGACAAAAAGAGAAAACATGTAGAAAAAGCTCACGTGTAAAATTCATGCAATAAAAGATGAGAAGGAACTGTACAGTAAAAATGAGAGAATGATATAACAGGTTTGAGTACTAAATACGTGTAAGAGGAAGAAAATTGGATTGGTGTAGATGGGCTAAACCAACTAAGGGAATGTTGAGTAAAAGAAACACTAAACTAAGGGAATGTTGAGTAAAAGACACTGTCGAGCTGATTACAAAAGGTAAATAAAAAAGCTCAAGTCTGTTTCGGTAGTTTACTCGGAAGTGACAAGTGTTTTGAGAATCCCGGAAATAACTTCGTTCCATTTTTACGGAAGTGAGCGTGTGTTGGCCAGGAGGCGGAGCATCAGCTCAAGTGTCACTGGCGCAACGTGTTGGATCACACCAATAGAGATCTGGAGATTGACCGGACGCTCTTACACCAATAATACTTTGATTGATTCTCCATATTCTTGCCAAAGCGTCTACTGCTTTCAGGATAGTTCTGTAGCCGCGACGCAACCACGGGCACGAACTCCTGCTACTGCTACGTTTTTACAGTTACACTGCTCCTGTTGCTAAGCCTACTGTTATATTTCATCTGTCAATGCGTACAGTCTTGTTCACTGCGGATGATGGGAGTTTGAAGGAGGAGGGGATTGGGGCGCCGCCAGCTCCTTCTCCTCCAGTTGTTCAAGCGAGTAAGCGACAACTGAACGAACTGTGATACAGCCTTGTCGCTCACCAAAAGGCAAAAAAATTAAACTAAAACGAAAACAAAAAAAACCGCTCAAATTTAATCGCAAAGGAGCCGGCTGGTAACGCCACATTGCGGCAGCGCGTAGAAACGTATGAAGTATCCAATTGCCTCGGTAGACAGCATCACTTCCATCTCAAATCAGTCAGGTCCT